TGTGGGCGCCCCCCGGGGGGCGTGGCCCGGGGCCCCGACTCCGTGGGCACCCTTGTGGGAGCGCGCCTTCCCGGCAGGTTCCGGGACTTCCCACGCCAGCTGCGGGAGACACGCGCGGAGCCCGAGCTGCCCAGTGAGGCCCCCAGGGCGTGGCCGGTCGCTGCTGGCGAGAGTCCCCTGAGCACCTGCTCCACCCTGTGCTTGGATGGCCGCCCAGGAGAGCGAGCGCCTCGCAGAGTCCTCTGTTGGCCCACCCTCGCCCCGACGCCGCGTGCCTGGAAAGATTCAAGGAGGATTGTCCCCCGGCTCACGACGGTGTCCTCCTGGCTCCCCGTCCTCCTGGCTCCAGCGTCCTTTGGACCGGACGCCTAAGGGTGCGTCAGAGCGTCACCGGTGTCCCCACTGCTCATTCCTCCTAGACCTGCCCCCTGTGGGTGGAGACAGAGTTGTCACCAGTGTTTCCAGGGTGGTGACCCTGGCCGGTCCTGCCAGGTGCGCCTTGTTTGTCTTCAAGGGCCCAGTCATTCTCCTTCCGTGATAGTCTTAAGAAGATTTTGCTCCGCCCGATACCTACTCTGGGGCCCGGAAGGGTGATCATTCACAGTTCACCTCCTGCAGGAAGGCCAACCAGTGAGTGGGGGGAGGAATGAGGGCAGAGTGGGAAGAAGGGGCGTTCCTGTCTTTCCTTTCTTTGTCTTTCACCCATGAATTTACCCACTAACCCACCCGTTCGTGTGTCCATCCGTGAATCAGGTCTTCGGCTGAAGCAGTCGTGACCCATCTGTGAATCCCCTTACGTGAACTGACATAGATCTCTCAGTGAATCGGGTGTTCTGCCAACCCACTGAAGATGGGTTCATCACCTGTGAATCCATCCCTCCGTTAATCGGGTCTTCCATTAACACATGCATAATTCAGCGTTAATCCACTCGGATCTGGTCATGCTCCCATTCACCCATCCGTCCTTGCTAACATCCTTCTATGAATCGGGTCTTCTACAGCCTATACAGAACCCACC